ATATAATATATATATAGAATCTATAAATTGAATAGTATTGTGAAACTTAAAATGTAAAGAATGAATTGATATTTAAGAATATTTCTTATGAAAGTACAATTTATTAATGATGTTGTTGATTTTATGAGAAAAAAAATATTTTAGAGAGCGCCACGTGCAAATTAATGAAAACACGTCATCATTACATTTAACGTACACAAAAGGACCAAATTCTTCTTCAAATGCGAATTTCAAATGTTAACGATATAAAAATTGCTTTGTCCGCGTAGTTAGTAATTTTTTAAAATGATTAAAATGTACTTAAAAAATGTAACACTTGTCAAAATGTTATGAAGATTGTTCTAACCCAACTTCCCAATTTTAGACAAATAATAGGTAGGTAAGTTTATTTAAATTATTGGATATTTATATAAAAACTAAAGTCCTCTATAAAGTCGCAAATTTAATGTTATTAATAATAATATGATATTATTTTTTATTAGAAAATCTTTTTGTATAGTACTTATGGTTCTACTGTAAAATATATTTTAAATATACCATCTTGTATTTTTTTGAAAATTTTTTATCATAGATTTTAATTAAAAATGTTTCTGAATTAAAAAATTTATTTTTGGTTAATATGATTAGAAGTATATAATAGATATATTAAAGTTTGATATAACTTTTGCATTATATAAGCCTGATTCATTAATAAAAAAAGAAGTAATTATGTTATAATTTGTTATTGTATAATGACATCATTGTTTGCATATTTTGTTTATAGCATAATATAAAATATGATGTCCAATGGTATTTGGATCTCTGCTAAAGAAGTTGGAAGGAAACCAATGTCAAACAACGCAAATTGTTCACCCATAACATCCTCAACATTAAATTCTCCACTCATGAAGTTGTCTTCATATTTCTTAGCTGTACGACCATGGTCATTAAGTGCTTCATTAATGCCAACACTTCTTGGATCTGCGTTAGCTTATCGGTTAACAGGCATAGCAAATTTTAGCTGGATATCTTTGATTCTTACAGTATATACAGTCTTTTGTGTACATGGAGCAGGTAATGTAGTGAATACTTATTTTGATTATATAAAAGGTGTAGATAGCCGGAAAAGTGATGACAGGATATTAGTAGATCAACTTTTATCAAAGGATGAATTAGTTTCACTAGGTGCATTATTGTACACAGCAGGATGTCTAGGTTTTGTTTTATTAACCACCATATCTCCTGCAAAAATGGAACATCTTGCACTTGTGTACTTTGGAGGTTTATCTTCTTCATTTCTTTATACAGGAGGAATAGGATTTAAATACATTGCATTAGGTGATGTTCTTATCTTAGTTATATTTGGCCCTATTTCAGTTTTATTTGCATTCATGGCTCAAACTGGTTATATAGAACTAGGTACAATCTACTATGCTATACCTCTTGCACTAAATACAGAGGCTATTTTACATAGTAACAATACTCGAGATTTAGTAAGTGACAAGAAGGCAGGAATAGTAACATTAGCTATTTTAATAGGTCATACTGTATCTCATGTTTTGTATGCATTTTTATTATTTACACCATATGTAACTTTGGTGGTGCTTGCATTGAGGTATTCTATTTGGTTTCTATTGCCAGTAATTACATTACCAACTGCTTTCAAAATAGAAAAACAATTCAGAAGCCCTCATACAATTCAACGTGTGCCTAAACAAACAGCTCACTTAAATATGTTTTTGGGAATTTTATATGTTATTGCTTGTTTACTTGTGGATCCTCTTCCCTATCTGTAATATATTTATGTCTTGTATTATTGTCCAGAGAAGAATTTGACAATTCGAACAATAACGTGAGCAGCTGTTAGCCTATCTATGCGTAATCTTATATAAGTTTCTGTTTTCATCACATTTGGATTGTTATAAATTACTTACTACATGATCAATTGAAATGATTCAATTTTGTTTCCTAATTTTATGAGAAATTAATTTCTATTAATTTTTTCATACAAACATTGCCATATACATTATGAAACTTATTTTTTAACTAGTGTATCATACTATCAATATTTATAATACATTAAACATTTAAAGGTAACTTTCCAATAATGTGATGATCTTTAATATGTACAAAGTAATTACACTATTCAAAATTTGAATTTGTACTTGTAACTTTTTCAATATGTGTAATTAGCATAATATTTCACATCTAAAATAGGTGTCTGAGTTTATGAAAATATTTAATTATTTAAATAAGTTTATAATAATTTATCTCATTTAGAAGCTAAGTGATATTATTTATAAAAAAAAAACATGCATATCTTTTGTAATCTCAAGAATATAACAGAACTCAACCTTGAAGTTTTCATATTTTATAAATTAATAAATTTACAATATAAGACAATAAATTCTTATGGTATATTGAAAATGAATTAATAGAATATTGTTTCATTTGGTATTCGTACAAAGATTTATAATACAACAATTATTATACATTATTAATTTAATTTTGTGATTATTTTATAACATCTTTTAAAAGTTCAAGATGTGATACTTTTAAAAGTACAGTTAAATTAAAGTATATACATGCTTATAGCAAAAAAAGAAGTTATAAAATCACATACAATTAATTTTAGTTCTTTTATTCATAAAAAACAAAACAATATATTGTACTTTTAAATACAAAAATAAAAAATACAAATTGAACAATTAAACTTCTACAATATATTAGAATCATTTCTATCATATATGTAATACAATTATTTGTAAAAATATTAGTATCAAGATAGTATCATTTTACCATAAATTTATGTAAAGAATGCAATTTCGTTGAGAACGAGGTATTACTAAACGAAAAACTATGTTTTTATGGTAATAATTTAATAAATTATTTTTATTAATTAATATTTTTATTTTTATTAATTAATAAGGAAAATAATTTTTTAAACATTTTAATCGACTAAAAAATTTGATGGAATCGTCGAAAAGGTGTTTTATCATAAATTTTATTCGTTATTAGATATGTTGTAAAGGATAATATTTTGAATAACTTTCTCCTTTGAAAAAATTGACGATCATATTTAGCTTTTAAGATATTTCTAATAAGCTTTTGATTGAATTCTGCACATTCGTATGTATCCGAAAAATAGTCTCAGGTACAAGCAGGAGCTGCTCGATGTGTTTCCCATGATAAATCTAATTATAAAAATCGTTGATCTCTTCCAATTGTTTATACCGACTGATGATGATGTTGTTTATACCGACTATTCTTCGAAGTGATGACATATGAACTATGATAATATTGCTAATATTTATGTCGTACATGTTAATAAAAAATTTGTTTAAAACTTCAGTATTTAGGTGGAATCCTTCCTTGTGCACTTCTCTATGTAAAATCTAATCTAAACCTAACTTAATCTTTTATTAAATTGAATAATTTTATTCTACATGTGGTTTAAAATTAAATTTGATTAGGTTACATTTGTCGTAGCACCGCTAGAGGGGAGGATGGGAGTTCTTCACTTGCTTGATTGGCAAAATTTGAAACAAATTTCTAATTAATTTATACGCCATAAAAATTAGTAGTGGGATTGTTGTCCTTGACGCTATTGCTTTTCCAAATGTTTTTGCGTGTGACTATCTCACAGACACATATGTTGAGTAGAATTTGATGTAGAGTATTAAAGAAATTTTACTAATATCTCGAGACTTAAAGACGAATATTATTATATGTAATGGGAAAAAGTTGTTCAAAATATGCTTTACAACATATTTAAAAATGAACAAAATTCACGATGAGATACTTCATTAATGACTTGATCAAAAATTTATCTAACGTAATCTAATTTTAACATATATATATAAATATAAAAGGTATGCAATTTTTATTGAAAATTATTTATAATAATATAAATAATTTATGGTTGTAGATGTGATACATCTACCAATTTTCCTTATTTTTTTCTTTTATAAACAAATCGATACAGAAACGATTATCGATTTTATTCGATATATCGAATTAATGTAACTTCGATTATAGAAGTGTATATAAAACCATAGAGATTGTTGAAAAATAAAATTTATTTATATAAGTATATTTAATAAATATAAAATGTATGAATCTCTTACGTTTTCTGACTCGGTTGGAATATGTCCGTATAATAAAAATCATATTATTACAAAATCTCGTCTTCAAAAGCACATAGTCAAATGTGAAAAAGTAAGTAGATCAATTCGAAATATTGTTTACCTATTGAGTTTTCGATAATTTTAAACAAAGAATTTAATTTCATTAGATAATTTGTATAATATAGTTATATAAATATATATATTAAATTTCTAAAATAGCAATTTCCAACACATTATAAAGTTATGTGTCCATATAATGCCACTCACCGATTATTTAAAGAAGAGTTAGAGGAACATATTATTACTTGTCCTGCACGCAATATTTTAAAATCGGAAATATATCCAGGTCTTTACAAATTTTATAATTATTTTTAATTTTTTCTTTCTTTTTCTTAAGAAAAATAATTATTAAAATACATTATTTTATTTGAACTAGAGGAGCATAATACAAGAAATTTTATAGTACAATCAGAATTTTCAAATATAATAGATGGTACAGAAAATTGGGATTTAGAAATTAATAACTCCATGACTTTAACTAAAGAAGAGTATTTTATAGATAATAATTCAAGACTGGTTAATATAAGTACTAATTCAAAGTAATAATAAATTCTTTTTTCTTGTTAAATATTAATTTACTACATATTTATTATTTTTTGATTTAATTATAAGAGCTTATAATAATTCTTCTATATCTATATTAAGGAAGCAAAATGAAGACTTTAAAATGATACGAGCTCCTCGGGGCTTTTCTGAAGCTATATTAACAGAACCTAGCGAAGATTCTTATGTTGAAGATGTAGAATCAGTAGTTAGTTCAATGGGTATTGGCAGAGGGAAAATTACTTTAAAGAACGATAAACTGAAATTAATTGGAATGTGTAGAGGAAGATCAATGGACAATTTTTCATAATAATTCAACACAATACAACTTCATGACTGATAATCAGCAAAGGGAGTATTAGAATCTTTCTATTTTTACCAGTATTAAAATAAACTACCATTATTTAAATAATAAAAATTAATTTACATATTGTAAATTACAATATGTTTTACAAAATGTAATTCATCACTTACATTTATTATACTTAAACATTTGTTTAATTTTTTAAATCTTTTTATTTTAGTAATTTACATTACTTGAAATATTTACACATATGATGTAAAAGATTATTACATAATGAATTATAATTAATTTTTTCATAAAAAAAGATGTCAAAAATACTAACACGTAAGGAAACTAAAATATTTTAATTATTTGCAAATTAATGTTATAATTGCAATGGCAGTTGGTTTACACTAACAATACTCAATTTTTTAATATTTTTAAATGCATCATTTTTTATAATATCAAATTTTTTAATTATATATATAGTAAAAATATAACTGAACATTAGACATATTGTGACTATAATGCAGAAAGTAAGAATATAACAGATAACACATTTTGTAAATATTAATAGCAGTAAAAATAATTCAATATAGGTTATATGAATTTTACTTATATTTTTATGTTACTTAACACTGTCTTAAATGATGCAAGATATCTTTTATGTTTTGTATTTACAATTATAATAAAATTTGGTGTTTGAATATAGTTTTTAACATTATTTAATGATAAATTTATGTAACTGATAGTAGTAATTGATAGTTGGATATGAAAAGATAAAGTACAAACTTTTTAAAGTCCAACATTAATTTTTTTAAGCTGTCAAAACATTATAAATTTTCAGTCATTTGATGGACATATATTATAAATTTTCAAATATTTAATGAATATGTAACATTAAAAAGGAGATATTCAAATTTATAACGAAGAGAGTTTGATTATACAAATAAAAATTTTAGAAATATTGTTTGAAGAGTTTCACATTTTAGAAACAAAAAATATTTTGTTGGATGGAATTGTTTTTAATAACGTATTATTATATACACAGATATAAATCTTTACTCATGAAATTTATTGAAGGAATATGCATGATACATTTACCATGTACATCTTTAAAAAGAATTGTAATTGCTGCAAATTAAGTTTTGTCTGTCGTGTAACATATGATATGTTAACATTTAAAGAAATTTGAATACAAATTTTATTATTGAAATATTTTATATAAGTCATTTACATAAATTTTGCATCAAATAATGTTTTCTATCTATTTATCCCTCTCCCCCCTTTTTTTGGTTTCTATTTATAAATTACAAAATTCCAAATAAGATTCAGATAAATGTTAACTTTTCTCCTATGCCGCTTAACTTACTATTTTTATGATCAATCATATGTTTTAATTTTTCATTTGCAGTTTCATATATTTAGAACGTATAAAGGAACAAGTGCTAAGTTTGTAAATAAGATTTTAATTTCTCTGGATACTGATGTCATCAGACAGCAATTATTTACAAGTTTTTTAAAAGTATCTTTTTTATTTTTTTTATGAGTAATGTGCAGGCGGTTACCTAGCTGCAGTCTGTTTAACGTTTTAATGTATTAAAACTGTAAATTTACTGAGTGCAATATTTGCACAGTAGCGAGATCATTGCACTGTATTCATTTACCATAGAGTCATACATCTATGGACTGATACAATATATTGTGCACTAACATTAGCTCCACAATATTGTGATGTTTCTGTAAAATGATTATTGCATTAGGATCATAATTTATATTTTTGTTGATTTTTTCTTTTGCTGTTTCCACATCGATATTCTTTTCTCCAAATCGGGCACTAGAAATATGAAATTGTTAATCTATTTATCTTTTCTCTACAAAAGGAGAAATATCTACATTTACTTACTTGGTGTTAGCATATCTTCACTGAGTGGTTGCCGACTGAAAGGATCTGTGGCACTATTAAGAAGGTGTCTAATAATAACTGCTTTATCCATAACAATACCAGATGGAAGTTTAACAGGTTCTTCCATAAGTGTGTCCATAAGTGGATCTCGAAATTCCTCTGGTGCATCACCATAATCTGCATCACGTGCACGATTGTCTCTAGCTATATCTGCAGCACGTTCCGCAAGTGCTACAAATCTTTCAATCTCTATGATAGACTTAATTACTGATCTTTCTAACTTGTTTGCGGCATCAATAAATAATTCCATGCAAAATGAACGCTGCAATAATAACGTTCATTAGAATAATATTTTTTCATCACATATTTCATGTATTAATACTATCATAAACTTACTTCGTCAGCAGCTAGAGCAGCGGCAAAGATTTCGCAATCAAGATGTAAATATATATCGACCAATTGACTAAGTAATGCTCTTGGTTCCCATCCATATTTTTGTGGTATTCGTACTTTTAAATTTTTACATTTAGGGCCACACAATTGTTGCAGATTAAAATTTAACATGGCACATAATCTTCCAACTAATTCTGGTCGTAAAAATGGTTCAGTAATATCATCTGTTAAATACTGAAACATGGCAACAGTTTCCTTGGCGAGAGTGAGATACGACCTAGCTTGTCTTTCATCCGCTGCCAGTTGTTTCATTCGTGAATGCTGTTGTTCACGGGATAACGCAGACCATGCTTTAAGATCGGACATTAATTCTTGAATTTCATGAATACGCTTTAAAGATTCCAAACTTTCATCGAGTAAAAACGTAGTATCGTTCATTAACATATTAATAAATTTCACAAATTGATTCCCATTATTACTTTCATCAATGATTGACTTTCGATGCACTGGACTATCCCACATAGATTTCAGAATTAAACTAATGTGATAACGAATTGAAAATTTATCATAAAATTCTGAACTAGATCCGGTCGTTTCGACATCTGTATAAAATTTCATCAAATACGACGCTAATAACGTTTTCGATATAGGATGTGCCATTACTTGATCGTGAAGTGATTCAGTCCGTCCCTAAAACATAAGTTTATTAAAACATCGTTCAAGGAGATACTTATATTTTTCTCATATTTACCTGAATATTGGGATTTATTACAAATAGTACTTCAATAATTTTTGCTATTAAATATGGATTTCGTATACAATGTGGAGTACATACAACTACAAGTAACCATGTAATAAGAGAATTGTCCATGTTGTTTATTATCACACTAGGACAAAATCTATGAAAAATAAAAAGTAGTAACACTATAGTATACAAGTTATCTTGATATTTTACAATGCAAAATATTACTTACTGAAGAGTAAATAGTACAAATTCTGCAATATCTTCGACATACCATTCTGGTAGTGCTGTAAACTTTTGTGGGACCTCTTGAGGTAAAGGCAGTTCAGGAATAGGATTTCCTGGTGAAGTTTGTGTCAATAAACTTAGCAGTATTTCTGCTACAGAAATATAAAAGTGCAAACACCTTCTCAATAAAACAGGATCAATTAATCCAGCATCTGTGTATAATTTAGATTTGCCAAGATGTTTTAATTGCTCCTTACAACGTCCTATCAATTCTTTATTACGGCTAGCGAAAGGACTGTCTTTCCATTGTGGTTCAGTAGCTTGTAGATCATCGAGCATTTTTTGCACATCACGTAAAGTCCTCAGCTTTCTCTCGTATTTCTGTAAAGCCGGTAATAACGCTATATGGTGACAATGCAGAGTAAGGAACCAACATTGTGTTGGAAACTTTGGCTCGACCCACTTGTGTGTCCGTTCTAAATGTTTTAACCAATCAGCAACTTCTTGGCATGTAAGTTTTAGCCTTGTATCATTCCTTACTTCAACAAAACTTGCTGGATGAAATGGATATAATGGATCTACCATGTCCAATTTAATTTTTACAGAAAGTTTTTGTAACACTGATAAAAGATTCAACATAAATCCGTCTCCAGCGAGGGAAAATTCTTCCGTTTGTATTTGAGCACGTTTCTCATTGCAACGTAATAATGTTGCTAAATATGTCAACATAGCTTCACGGCAATTACTGCTCGCGAGTATTGCATGAAATATTTTATGAAGCGACGTTCTGATACTTTCTAACTCTTGTTGCAATGTTAAAATTATCGGTTTATCAATTAATGGATTACCACTGAGGAATGTTTCAGGCATGTCTAATTGATCCTCGGCAAACACAGAAACCGACAAAAACTGTCCAAGAAGAGACGTTATTGTAATTTCTTTACCGGGAGCTGATGTCATAAGATCAGGTAAAAATTGAACTTGATGAACGATTAAACGACAGATTGGTCGTACGTTACTACTAGGTCCACAGCAAATTTCTATTAATTCTTCTAACGCTTCTATCGGTCTTCGATGTGTATTTCTAATTAAGCTGGCTTGTTGCATCGAAAGATACAAACTTTGTAAGAGTGGAGTAAAAATTTTGTTAAATACTGCTGTATTTGTATGCGTTCTCGCCACGAGTTCGTGCAAATAGCCACGAGGTAAGCTTTGTGAAAGTACTGGACACAAAAGAGGTGTCATAGATAATGGGTATGTAGTTGAAGACTGAGAAATACCAACTAGGCCTTGTAGTACAAGACTGGAATATTGAACACACTGTGCCCTTAGAACAGCCAATACATCAGATAGTGGTGGTATACTTGATTTCTGTTCATAAAAAGGTTTGTATTATATTATCTGCCAAAACAGGTATTATAATTAAAGAGTAATGTTTATTATACCTTTGGGTGATTTCGTTCTTCAATTGCAACCCTTGAATAGCAATCTAGTAAATAAATGAGGCTTTTAGGTTGCGACAATTTATAGCAAATATCACAACGACAAGATGTTGTGATTGGGCTTTGTAATGGACTCGCTTGACTATTTGGACTACCTTCTCTATCTGAGGAGGTGTCTACATTAATTTCTTTTAAAGGATCCTCATCCCTCATAAACATGCATAAAACCTCCAATAATGCTTGATTAATAATCTCCGTAGCATCAGTAAGTTTTGTTGATAATGCATATACAGCTGTTTGTGGTAAGAATATATAACCCTCTATAGGTTCTTTCCATGATATGCATAGTACACGTGAGATAACTGCATGTATTTGTTCTGTAGTTACCTCTGTACTGGAACTTGTAGTCTGAAAAATAAAGAAATATAATAATAATAATGTTACATATCTGTATTCATAAATATATATATATATGTATATATATATATTTACGCGTGATCTTGGTTTCAGTTCTTTTCTATCAGATTCCTCAACTTCCATATTTTCAATTCCTGAATCTATATCTACACCAGAACTGCTACATTGTTTGTTATTACTTTCTTCTACTTCCATTGGTACTTCAGGATTTTGAAATTGTTGTTGTTTTAGTGGTGATATTATTTGTTCTGTAAATGTTTTAGATGGACCTGATGTATTTGGAGAAACTGGATCATTATTGTGATTTGAATTAACTGTTGAACTGAAGCTATCTAAACCTGCTAAACGAGCCATACGTCTTCTTCTTACCTATAATTTAAGTATATGATATTAATTACTTATGATTAATTTCCCTGTTATTTTTTCTACAAGTTTATATTTTAAGAATCCATGAATAACATAATTTCAAGTAAAATTTTATTTTATAATAATTTTCCATATTATAGATACTATTTAATAGGACATAAAAGGATGTGACATAACAATCAAATGTACACAAGAACTGAATAAAAGCTTGCTATATTTATATTAAAGATAAAAAATAAATAGTAATAATGAAAATAAAAAGATATTTTCATAAATGTAAACAATATATTTCGTTTTTAAATAAATTTATTTTATATTAAAAATAAAATCTTTTGTATGGAACTATGAAATACAAAATTTTTGTTTACATTGCAAAAGAAATTAAATAAATGTTGCAATCAATGACAAAGAGAATTATTCTAAAAAATTATATTATTACAATGGAAAATTAGTTTCAATTTGTTATCATTACATAATTATCTTGACACAATACCACAGGAGAACAATGACTATTTTGTAATTATTGTTTCATTGATGAGACTTTCTATCCTGTTATTCTTTCCTATGCTCTGGTAAATGGCCCTGTCATATTTTCTTTCATGTAGTGAAATTAGGAAGAAAGCAAATGTAAAGCGAAAGGAATGGTAACAACAAAACGGACTTACGGACGCTATTGAATAACGATTGGAAACGGTGCATTGGTACTCACTTCCTCTTGGCTTAACTCGCTCATGGCGATTTCTTTATTTTTTTCTTTTGATCTCTCTAACCTCTGACACAGTCCCCTGTGACCCCACGTTCGCTGATATTATAAAAATTCTATAGAAAAAATGTCTTCACTATTTGAAAAATCCTGGACGAGATACGTCAAAAATTTGGACAGCCACTCCACATCTGTTTGCGTTTGGACGTGAAAGCAGCAATTCTATGTCGTGTTACGGATAATCACTGTGAAGCTGCGTCGATTCTTCAAAACAGCTGAGCAACTAACATACGACAGAACGCTCTCTCGCATTGATAATCGTAACTACAATTCAGCCAATGTAGTTTTGCCGGTTGCGCAGTAGACCATTAATGAGAATAGGTAAAAATTCATTGTGTACTAGTAAAATGATGATAACTAACGCAGATGTAATGTTATAATCAGTATAGTCACTAGTTTAAATTATCCTTTTTCTTTTGATTCAAATTATATTGACTACTCATAAGACATGATCACTATTTTATCAGAACTGAGTAGCAAAACTAGCATCGGTTGGAACTAGTATCACATTATATATGTATAGTTTTATTATGAATTTATGTTTAAAATTTAACCAATATTTTAAAACACATTCTACTTTTCATTTGATATATATCAAGTTTTTGGTTTTTATGAATGTGTATGTTGTGTGTGTGCATTTTCTTATAAAAATTGAATCTTTGCTTAATATTTAATTTATAATTAAAAGTAAATGTAAAGAATTAAGTTATAAAAGTCTTAGAATTATATGAAAATGTAGATAGCAATTTAATATATGTTATTTAACATATTTTTGTTAACTTTTGAATCGTGTACGCTCATTGGTTGTCATATTTACTGGTCATTTATTCATTTATAATTGTGAAATTGCTAGCAAATTCGTAAGTACGATTGCATGGTGTTAAAGATAATATTTTCAGTAAATTGCAAATTACAACACTATTTAGCTTCGTAGAAAATATATATAGTATTTAATAATTCATATTAAAATGAATAAAGAAGAAGTTATTGCTTTCACGGATTTAGGTAAATATATTATCATAATATTCACGTATAACTATGTTTCTCAATTATCATTGTCATTTGTCTGACATATCTATAATTAAAACATCGATGAAATAGTAATACTATATTAATGTCACTTTGACAAAGAATTTACAAAATTTACAATTTTTTGTTATATTGTCAATATTTTGCGTAATATATGTATACAGAATAAATTAAAGTAAATTTTGGTTATATGCATTTTTCAACTATATCTAATTTACAAAATTAATTTACAATATTTTTACTTATTATAATGTAATAAATTTTGAAACATTTTCGTAGACAAAATCAGATGTCAGTCAGATGTCATGACAGTCCATATAATACACAATGTCATCCAAAGAGTTAATAAAAAAAAATCATATGGTTATATTTCAAAATAAACATATTGAAAGAAATCATTGTATTTTATTATATGTAAAAACATTTGCAATGTTTTATAGAAGCTGATATACAGTCTCTTATAAAAGAAAGTGTAGCAGTCCATATGTACTCTTATTCACCATATAGTAAATTTAAAGTTGGAGCTGCAATTCTTTGTGATGATGGGGCTATTTTCACAGGATGTAATGTAGAAAATGCATCTTATCCTGTATCAATATGTGCTGAAAGAACAGCTATTGTTAAAGCAGTATCAGAAGGAAAAAGAAAGTTTAAAGCTTTATCAGTAGTAGCTGATGGAAAGGACAATACTTTTATCACGCCATGTGGTTTATGTAGACAAACTATTGGAGAGTTTGGTGATATACCAATTTATTTAGCAGGATCTGATATGAAAAATGTATTAAAAACTACATTGAGCAACTTATTGCCTCGTGCCTTTACTTTTGAAGATGTAGAAATATTGCAATAACTTTTTAAATGGATAAAAAATTAAACTACATAATTAATTTTTAAAATATAATTTAGTATTTTTTTGTTGGGTCTATCATTTAGCATTCTTTTGAGTTCTAGTTTGTTATAAAAGATTAAAACACTAAATCACATAAATAATCTTCAAAATATTATTTAGTATTTCTTTCATTTAGTACTTTTATGTTCAGTTTGAATTTTTTGTTTTTTCATTTTATACGTTATATATATTAGTTGTTTTATCAAGACATTATTTTATCTTAAAAATGTTTCTAATTGTATCTTGCATTGTATAAATTTCTCTGTAACAGTATCATTATATAAGTGATGTAACTGCAATAATTAAGATATAATATTTTTATACAAATTTCAAAGAATAGAAAGACAATCCTTAAAAAAAAAATATCATTAATGTAATCTTATTCCTGAGTAGTTTTTTTCATGTTTACATAAAAACTGATTATCATGCGTTCTAAATTGTGTTCTTTCTAATTTACTTACATTGTACTTTATAAGCGGAAATAACATGAGTATTATATACAATCATTGTAATAATATAGCTTATATATATGTACAATATGCTCTAATGGTATGATATTACATATAATTATTCCTTAATAATAAGAAATGCAAAAACAGGAACGAGACTGAACGTGATATACATTAAAGTCTTCATCTATGAAAATTCATGTTTACCAGAAAGGACACCTGTAAATCAAATACAATTTCATTACTATATAATGATTAGTAATTAAAAACCATTTGAGGCATTTAGGAACAACGTATTATTTATACTACATAATTAACAAATAATTATGAAAATCACTAATGGTTTTGTAATATGTTAATAAAGTAATAAAGAAATACCATCCAATGTAACATTGACACAAATTTTCATTATTTGTAGCTTGTTGAATTAAAAGATCAACTTGGCGCTGGACACTCAATGTTTCTTCGTGTGAGAAATCACGTCCTGTTAATTTATCCCTTACTCTTGTTATAATAGTAAGAGCTTTTTTATTTAGTGCTTCTGGTTGATTAGTATCACCTATGATAATACAAGTTTTTTTTTCATTTTGTTGTATATTTACAAATTACTTACATATTACAAATTGATATAAACTTTTATTCATAACAGCTTTTATGTTTACTAGATAAAAAGAATAAAGATTTTTTGTAAAGCAAGAAAATCAATTTACCGCCATTTTCGACGCTACATGGCACTCCTTTCTTTGGTAATGTAGCGGTAAGAGAATCTAATGCATCACTGTGTTCTTGATTACTACTTGCACTCATCCCCTGAGCATCAGATCTCTTACCTTTTAATGCAGCATTGTCCATTAACCGCCAATTTAACAAAGGGTCGTAAACAAATGCTTCTAACACTGCCATTAAGCTATCCTTATTACGATGTAACACAGACATAACCGACTCACAAGTTCTTCTATATGTGCCTTCAATTCCTGTTACTTCCATCGCATTAATTAACATTCTTGTTAATCGGAACGGAATTTTCTCAGGAAACTTCTCACGAGTCATGGCTACTTCGAAACAATCCCCGAAATCAATGTGTAATATTTTCCCACTTAAACGATCTAACATCAAATTAGATGGATGACGATCACCAAGACCAAGGATATATCCCACCATAGACATTACAGCGAGAGAACGCGTGTAATTTGTTCGACGATCAAACCATACTTCACTTGATGGCGACTTTAACCAAAGAAGTCGCGACAAATCATCGCCATGAGTATGTTCAAGAGCATGTTCAAACACTTCAACCTTTTGCATAAGCATGAGGTGATCATAACCTGGAGCCATCTATAAATCAAATTACTATAATTAAATCAATTAAAATAAAATATTAATATATGTATAATATTATGTGCTTACTCTTAACATTATCTTATGTTCTATATTTAATAATATTTTTTTCTTTTCTCTATAATCTCTGATTAGTGTATGTAATGTATCACAATGTGGCACCCATCCAATCAGACCACTGTTTGTGGATAGTGGAATTACAGCATATCTCTAAATATAAAATTTAGTTAATAAAATATTTCAAAGATTTAAAAATAATATTAAAGAGTCCTAATGTTTCATATACTTGGATAGTAAGATTTCTCCTAAAGGTATCTGGATCATGCAACAGAAGGGTATTGACTAGACCAAATAATTGCATTACTCGTTCATCTTGTCTGAGATCTTCATGTCCTTTCAAAAGGAACATGTAATCTTTACCATTGCTACCTGCAAATGTTAAATATTTTAAATATTCAATACATTCAGAAATTATCTAGAACTAATTAAAGAAACTCAAAGGTAATTAACCTTTTATACATAATTTTCGTGGTCTCTGTTTACTTGTTATTACTTGCATAGAACTATGCATACTTGCTATTCTAACTATTGGTTGTCCAGGACTATAACTCCCTGGCACAGCTAGTTCTAGATCCCTACAAAGAAGTAATTTTGGACTAACATACTGAAGTTCTAAGCTAGTTAATTGTGGCAACTGTCGAGATATTCTTCTAAAAACGTGATAATATAAATCCCATGCTTGATTTAAATCTCGAACGTTACGCGAAGCTTTGTATCTACGACACCATTCTTGTGCCTCCATTAAATCTCGACCATAGGCCTGATTGAAAGACGTTTCTTTTAAAGTCTGTGGTCCTCTTTCTAGCATTGCGTGTAAAGGTTCCAACGTATCGAACATTCCCCGAACGTTTCTTTCACCAAAGTATAATCTGCTAGCTTCTTCCAACCCTTCGTGCCACAGTTCATGCCAAAGAATCGCGACTCTGATTAATTCATCACTAGCCATCATTGCTTGCTGTACCAGAGTTGGACTATGTTCACACATACTTTTAAGAATTTTATTAGCAGCTGTTTTTCTGGCATGACTTGCACTCTTTGATGCCACGGTCAAAGGATAAACCAAGGCTTGAGGATGTGTTTTTCCAATATCTATCAAAAGGTGATGTATACATCGACCAACTAAAGCTCTTGGTGTGTCTATTCTTGCTATAAGTTGTGGAATTACTTGTAGCCAAGTATTAATCTCAATTAACCGGATACCTTCAACAATGGCCTCATATACCTCTGGCCATTGACCATAATCAAACCATAAGGTTAATAAACGAAGTGTATCTTGTAAAGAATTACCATGAGAAAGATTAATAGATCTGAAAAATCCTTCAACTGCTGGTACAGTAAATTGAGATATATATTGTGAGCTAGAAAGATTACTGCGAGTCCCATTCCCTGAGATATTATCTGCATTTGAATCACCTTGTTGATGTTTATAAAATAAAACTGTTTCAAAGTTAGTATAAGCAAAAGCATGCCATGCTTTGTACCAAGTAGGATCATGTTCTGTAGCAGCAGCATAATAAGATAGCACTGCTGGTATAGAATGTTCATTTATGCCTTGCAATGCTTCTAACCATTCACCAAGTTTTAAATAACATCTAGCAAGTAATCTCTTTCTTGCTTCCTGTTGTTTCTCATCTTCTTGATTTACCACTGACATAGTTGTTGGTTGTAAGGACACCTGTACAAATCTTTGCAACTGATTGTATGCTTCTTCTCGTTTATTTGCCACCCACATATGCTTGCAATAAGCAAACGTCACCTGAGGATGACTAGTTGGTAATGGTTGATCGGGAGTTAACGAAGGATCTGTTCCGAGTAACATAACTAATGTTTTGTGACACAACATTAAACTACCACTTTTTCTACACAGACTAGCATATTTTAACCATGTATACATATCATCTTGAGGTGAAACTACTAATGTGTGAACTTGTATAATTTTTTGCCAGTCTTCAACTATTCTCTGTCCACCTTGAAGCCTTTCCCACCACATAGATTTAATAGTAGATCTTCTTTCTGGAACTAACTTAAACTGTATTACTTCTTCTAGCTCCGCCAATTTTTGAACCTCTACCATAGCATTATAAGCTCTTTGATAGCTTTCACCAGCCATAGCAGTCAATTCTGTATCTAATAGATCCCTGGTACTATCAATAAGCTGATGAGCGATGTTATATTGTTCATCATGTATTGCTAAAACAGCTCTGTAAAAGGCACCATCCTGAGTATCCTTTGGAATCAAAGAAACATATTTTACCATACTTTCCCATTGATTTAAACCCCATGCTGCAGCTGCTGCCATTCTAGCCATTCTCTGCTTGGTTTCATCACTTTGGTGTGACCATTGTTTTGTGGCAACATCATGCAATTGTCCCCATTCGCCAAGAGCTTCTAAACAACGCATTTCACCTAATGTCGATTCTACATCTGCAGAATCACTTTCTAGTCTTTCCC